ATACATACATACATTACATACATTACATACATACATACATACATACATACATACATACATACATACATACATACATACATACATACATACATACATACATACATACATACATACATACATACATACATACATACATACATTACATACATACATTACATTACATTACACATTACATTACATTACATTACATTACATTACATTACATTACATTACATTACATTACATTACATACATACATTACATTACATTACATTACATTACATTACATTACATTACATTACATTACATTACATTACATTACATTACACATTACATACATACATACATACATACATACATACATACATACATACATACATACATACATACATACATACATACATACATACATACATACATACATACATACATTACATACATACATACATACATACATACATACATACATACATACATACATACATACATACATACATACATACATACATACATACATACATACATACATACATTACATACATACATACATACATTCATGCATTACATACATACATACATACATACATTACATACATACATTACATTACATTACATTACATTACATTACATTACATTACATTACATTACATTACATTACATTACATTACATTACATTACATTACATACATACATACATTACATACATACATAACATAACATAGCACAGCATAACAGCCTGAGCCCACACAAGGGCCCAACCACACTAAAGACGAGCTGGGCTGATACAGATAGATGCAGACAGAATGCACGGACACAGTGAGACATAGACAGACAGACAGACAGACAGACAGACAGACAGACAGGCAGACAGGCAGACATGGACGGAGAGAGACGAAGACACGCTGCCGATCGTTTGAGATGAGGGGTCAAGATCTTGGAACTTCACACCAAGGAGGTGATCTACCTCCTCAGGCAAGCCAAGTTACAAAGCTCACACATAGCACTTTGGGTCCAGCCAGCCATCGTTACATGAAGACACTACATGAACATGAGAACTGTTCAGTCTTCCCTCTGGGCTCCCTGCCACAATCTGTCCAGGCACCCTGCAGACCACCGATAGCCAAATGGCTGCAGATGAGCGCGCAAGAGCATGAGGAGTGCAATGCTCAACAGTAGCTGTTCCTCAAACGAAGACGCTGGTGAGAAAAGATCCAAACTTCCCTCTTGGAAAGAACCTATGCGTCCTTGCGTCCTTCCCCTCTTCATCAAACATCAAGAGAGCCTTTGCCCCTGAGATCTACACCGCCCGAATTGATTCTCACCCCTCCCCCAAGGCAAAGCCTTGTGATCCCAATGGTGAAGACTAGTTTCAGGTCTTGGCTTAGCTATGAAGGCTGAACCATTTATGAAGTTGTTAGGCTGTGTATGGCCCTTAGCCCTTGTGTCGGCGCATCACCTGACCTCCAACACTCATGTCTGACGAGTTGACAAGGTAAGCAGGTTGGTCTTTGAATGGCCTCCAATGCAAGCCGTGAAGAACTTGTTACTAATTAGTGGGATACCCCACTTGTTCACCCATCATTCGAGCGAACTCCACCCTGGAATTCCATCCATTATCTGAAAACACATCGCTGGAAGGAATGGAGCAGATGCAGCTCGCATGGACCGACATACTTGTTGAGCTAGAAATCTATCGCGCAGGAAGCCCAAAAGGAGACCCCTTCAAACAAAGAAACTCTACAAATTAAATGGCTGCTTTGGTGAGTTCTCATGACCTTTTCAAACCAGTTCCTGCTGTGGTGATCGCTGAAAGCAATGGGATATGTTCCCTACGTCTATGAGACCACCCCATCAAACATTCTGACAATGCCTGCTGATCAGGAGACACAGGCCGTGGTCGAGCAGCAGAATTGCGAGCAGTGCCCCTGACATGTTTTCTGTTACTCGGGCGGCCGGTTGCGCTGGTTGGACTTGCAAGTGGCCCAAGCGGATTGCCATCAGGCTGGTGAAGATCCGTCCTCTCGTATCAGGTTCATCCCAAAGGACACCGCATGTCCACTTTACCTCGTGGCGAGCCACTGCGCATCGCCTGTTAGTCAGTGGCAATACCCCAGTCGCCTTTCTTTTGAAACAGGCTTTGGGCCATCGCTTTTGGAACAAAGGGCCTGCGTCGAATGTTGCGGAAGTGCGCCCCCGCTGCTTTGACTCGCCTTACGTTTGCTTGAACAATCGAGGGGCGAAGCGGTTTTATGGGATTGCAACAATAGAGCTGCTCTTTCACTTTTGCAACACTTGGCTGCAAATATTGGAGTCGCCTGAAACAGGGATCCTCATGGATGTCTTCTCTTGAGAGCAAGCCTGCAATTTGTTCACACACAAACACCTAGCAAAACGGTGGGTCTCTTTCCGGGGCTCGAAAACCAAGAGACCTTGGAGCTTCCGAAAAGACCCTCACGGTGGATCTTGGAGCTCCAAGAGACCCTCACGGCCCAGTCGCCTCCCTGGAAGAGGATGGCCGCGCCTGCTGTCCCGGGCTGCTTTGCGCGCCTCTGCGGCCAGAGCTGTGGACAGGATGTTGCCCACCTCAGCCAACGCTTCGCTGCTTTGGTTGTTTTACAGAAACACCCAAAGGAAAACCACAATTTGCGGGGTCCCCGAAAAAAAGACACCCCCATTTGGGGCTGAGCCCATGAACATGTCCAGCGTTGAGTCACTTGAAACAAAGGGAGACCACAGTTTGGGATGTGTCCAGGAAGAAGGCCTGAGTAAAAAGCAAACAAAACAGGACCTTCTTGGGGGCCCAACCGGTGCTCTATCCAAATGAACGCCTTGTGGCTTAGACATGGTAAACCAAGAACAGCCCTGACAATTGAGTGCGAGGTAAGGGGTGGTATATAGTGGAATGGATGGCCCGTTCGTGTTCCTTGACTGAGTGAAGGGCAGTGCCAGACGGGTAAGGAATAGAGTATCAAGGAAGAGGCTAAGCGCACACTAGCACTGCTGAAAAGAAGAAGCGGTCCGTCCGAATCGAGAATTAGTTTCTAAGATTCAAGCCACCTAGCACGCTTTGCAGTTGAGGTCACTAGATCCGCAATGATGGAGATGTAGAATCAACATATCAACAAATATCTAGTTATGTTTTCAAGAAATCCACAATGCTCAGTCAGGAATGTCTCGGTCCATCAAATCCAGCACCACATTGTTCTTGTTTACACTACAAGCAGGTGTAACAATCCCGCAAACCAACGTGCAGCAACTCTAAACACCAGCAGTTGTCCCTTTCTGCTTGTTTGCTTTTAGTTGCGGCGTGTCCAGATATCCATCCAGCGACTATCTAAAGTCCAAAGAGCAACCCCGGCCCCTCGTGGAAGTTCTGCTCAATCAGTCGCCTTCTTAAATCTGTGAATTTCCCCTCACCCATCCAATGGGGAGGCGGGTCCGAATTTTACCAAACCTGTGAGCGCCCAAGTGCTCTTGCCACGTGTTTCTGTGTTTCTGGTTCGAAGGGTGACCACGTTGGGGCGAGCTCACCCGCCGTGAAAGCCTGACCTGGTTGCTGAAACAGGGGTTACCATCAATCTTGGCGTTCCCAGGTAATTGCGAATGTGCGCATGATGTGACATGGTGTGAAGATACTGCTGGCCCAAATGCTCTGGCAAGAGTCTAGCAAGATATCTTTTAAAGTGAATGCACTGGTCCAAATCTACTGGCAAGAGTTCAGGGACTGCGTAGTGTCAAACAAATGTGATGGCAAAATTGCTCTGGCAAGCGGTTGGGTCTTACGTGATTCATGCTGTAAAACGTATCTGCTGGCCAAACTGGGCTAGACCGAGTTTATGTCTGGTGGACACCTTTTCTCGTGCTATCTGGCAAAGAGGTAAAGCGATGAAAACTACATGGCCCAAAACCACAGTGCCCAAGCAATGGACCGAGAGACCAACTCAGCCAAAAGGTACAAATCTACCAGCGCACAAAGGCCTCGCGTCAATACTGGGGACACACTAAGAATCAATTGCAGAGTTACATGGCCTAATCAAGAAAATCAGCCAATCTTTTAAGTCAAATCTCCCTGGCCACGGCCGCTCCCCATAGCACTGGCCAGGAAAGCTTGAACTTGGTACATAGAATCCTGGGGCCTGTCCCTGGGAAGTTTCAAGTACCACCCCCCTCCTACGCAACTGCGTAAATTCGACTCAAACCCTGGGGGCCGCCTTGAAAAATTGCTGCTAAGTTGAAATGGCCGACATACTTCCGGGCCCCCGCACACGGCCGCGGCGGTGGACCAAACGGTCGTAGCAATCCAGGCGCGCCCTAGGATCCGTCAATTCATCAGTCCGTTGAGCCAATAGTGAACCCCCAAAAAATGTGTTTTTCGCTTTGCTGTTGTTTGTGGTGTTGTTGTTTTGCGTTCGCGCCCTTTTTGGTGCCATCTCAGGTCTCAACACAGGGCGCTTGCACCGATTCACTTACGTCCTTTTCACACAAAAAAGAGTCCTATGGCACCTTTTTGGGCGGGCCCTTCCAGTGATGTGGCCCGGCTGATACAACGATTGCTCATCCGCGTACCCTGTGCAACGAGAACAACAGCTAACTCGTTGAGCCCTGCGAACCGGCCCAATAGAAGCGGCCCGCAAATGAGCATCACGCACCGAGTCAGGTGAAGTGCAGTGAAGGAGCCAAAAGGAAACCAACCATCTCAAGATGTTTTGGACCTCTGGATGTGGGGACATGAGTAAAAGGGACATCTAGCCAGAACGCTGTGATGGAACATCACCGCCAACTAGGAGGCACTTGAATCACGGGCAAAACACATCTCACCACTTCCTTGCTGCCGAATCTCAGCAGCGCAGCGCCCCGCTGGAGTGTCAACTCCTGCGCAATTGAAATCAGGAAGCAACCGTAGCAACCGTCACACCAGGCACCAGCCCAGTCCGCCAGGCCGCAAGGTCGGGAACAGCACAGGAGTTGGGGGGCCGTCCGGCTGTCCTAAACCTGAAGTTGTCCGGCCTCACCAAGGGTTGCTCCCCGAAGAGGCGAATTCCGAACCTCAAGTCCTTCGATCTACAGGGGCCCAAAATGTGTCGAGAGCAGGACCCCTCTGAAAGAACGATGACTCGCGTACTTGCGTGGTTACTTTGACTGGGTTGGCCTCAGCAAGGTGGGTATGCGTCAAAAAGACTGAATCTGCGCAGCGCCCCAAACCCATTCACTTTTGGCTCTACCAATATGGTGTTTTGACCTTTTTGAGTCCTTTCTTTTATCCTTATCAAGCCAGGTAGTAGAAGCACCCACTCAAATGGCCACTGAAGGGTTTGGGAGCTGCTCGTCTGTTGTCTGTTTCTCATTCACAACTTCCCCCCACTCAGCCTGCGCACTTCGCCACCGTGCAAAGCCACAGGCCTGGCCGAGCCAAATCCCTATGGTTTCGAAGCCAAATCCCGGTGCCTCAATATTCGGATGTTGAAGCTTGACCATGGAAAACCGGGACTTAATGCTTGCAGGTAAGCTAAGGTAGGTAACCAGGGAAACCATCGTGCAATTACACCCAAAGAACGAAAACTATGTGCAATGGCTTGCAATTTAGAGCACTGGGACAACATAAATTGTCCCGGACAACATAAATTGTCCCCGGACCCCGAGTGGAAGATGGACTTTTAGGGTGACAGCCCAAGGCAGAACCATATCACTCCCGGCTGGATTTCTTGAGACCTCAGGATTGCCGCGGTCAATACTCAACAGGTGCCAAGCCAAGCACATTGGATGGCCTGAAGCTGTCAAACTACAGCACCACTACTGCCATGAACGGCTCCTTCGCCTCGGCGAATAACGCACAGTGGCTGCCAACTACGGCTTTAAGACCGTGGTGGACCAGTAACGACCATGTTTGGCTTAGACAATCCGTGGTCGCCCACCTCCACGACTTTCATGGAAGGATGGGGGTCCACATGTTGCAGCTCAAAACTATCATGTGCATAGAAATATCACTTGCGTCCACGGTCAACCAGCAATTGAAACAATCAGACGTATAAAAGACTGCGGGGGCCTGCTGAGTATGCCTTCCTTGATTTCAAAGGTCGTGCCCAAGCACCCGCAAGTTGACCTCCGGGCTGGGCTCGGGGATTCCCTGGGTATTGGTATCACAGGAACTTGTGTCATGTCTCGCAATTCGAACGTGGCGAGTCTCGTGCCGACCGTTGCTCACAGGGAGACCATCCATTTGGCATGACACACAGCCATTTCAAAGTACCCAAGGCCTGACCCCCAACCGACCGACTGACGGACCGACCGACCAACCGTACCGTTTCAAACTTACATTGGGAAGTGAAGGGAGGGTGGGTGGACGACCGAATGCCTTGGCAAGGTGCTTTCACATCCCTGAAAAGAAAACTGGTAAACTATCCAGATATCCAGAACCAATCTGCACAAATTCTGGCGAGCTCACCAATCAGGGGATGAAGGACTCTGAACCTTGGGAATCTCGTATTTCCAATCGAGCAACTGACAACATGTCTGGTTGCTGGTAAAAGGAAAGGACATTGGGGGGCCCACCCAAATGCCTCAGGGAAACAACACATTGGGGGGTCCTTGTTGTTAACAAGTAATGCCTGGAAAAGATGGTTGCAACTGGAACCACAAAAAACACACACACAAGCAAGTGGCAAGCGCCATCTACGTTCAAACTCACCGAAGCCATCCCGTCCCGGGCCGTCTGCCGCAGCGCCAAGAGCTTCAGCGCCCCAGCCAGGCGCTTCGCCGCCTGAGCGGTCACCCGAGACCCGAATCAAACGCGTCAAATCTCAGAACAACACAGAACATACGGGTGTGGGTCAAAATTTCACCACCAGGGGACCGCAGGTTTTAGTCCATGTGTCCATTTACTAAGGTTCCATTTCGGGTACCTAATTTTGACCCACAGCCATATGGAACCAGAAATCGGGTACCCCAAAAGGAGATTCCTCAACTGATAGCTTAGACACACACTTAAACTCCAGATGGAGGGTGCTAGTCTTTCGAGTACAACTGATGGGTCTCGAGTACAACTGATGAGTCTCGAGTACAACTGATGAGTCCGAGTCGGATAAGTTTCGGCTGGCAGGTCACTTGGCTTCACTCTAGAAACGAAAACGTTACCCGAAAGAACAAGAAGCACAAACAGCGCCGCAACCAAGGGGGCCAAATAGACTTTCAGAATCACCGATGCAGGTACGTCCAGCTGGCCAAGCTGGATATCCCACTTCACTGGTAGCTTCGTTGGACACAGTCCCAGTGAAGTGCTGTGTCCCCCTGCGCTGTGTGCGCCCCTCAGTGAGGGGCGAAAGTCTTTTGTTCCCGTCGGAAGATCACACAATCGGCTCATCCTTGCTAGCGTCTACCAAAATATCCGCTGCGTCTGGGAGAGCGCGAAACTGCACGCTCCGCACGAAGCCGCTCAGAAGACGGGGACCATAGAAGACCGGAGGAAGCTGCAAAGCAGTCGAGCGATCACCGTCATAGGTGAACATCTCCTCGACCCGGATGATGTCCGAATTTTGCACGTCAGCAAGTGGTTGATCCTGAGCATGATCAGTGGAGAAGGACCCAAAGCGAGACAGAATGCGTTGGTAACCTTGATGTTGCCAGTCACGAATTGTCCATGCTTGACTGGGTTCACCAGTCCCATCGTCTGGATCAGTTACCCGTTTCCACTCCCGAAACAAGTTGTCTGGTAGGTCAGGTACTGCCTCTTCTGGGCGTCACAGTTGAAGTTGTCCTGGAGTGTAGATCCGCACCCACTCCTGATCATGCCAGACGGAATATTCGAGCCATGGGTGCTGCTCGGCAGTTCGGGCCGACGTCTGAGTCGTATCATCTATGTCCATGTCGAAGTGAAAGACAGGGCGTACCGCAGGTTCCGATCCAGCTAGCAAGGGAACAGTCACCATGCACAACCTTGCACAACCATGCACAACCTGCAAACACACATGGAAGCAAGAGCAAGAGAAAACACTCTTTTATGCCATGGTCAAAGCGCATCAGTCTATGCATCGCCTAGCTCGAAGATAGGCTTCTCCTTGTTGGTAGAACTGCATGGTTGGCTCGCAGGCAGATTTGGGTCAACGACCCAATAGACTCAGGTGGTTCAACTCCACGAGATGCACGTGGTGGTTGGTGCTGGTAGGACGCTTGACGCGCGCGATCCGATAATTGCTGACAGATCCCAGCTTGAAGACGAGTGAGATCATCCGTAGAGAAGGCCGACGCATCCGAAGATCGAAGAATCGCGTTCAACATCTGCGTGGTCATACACAAAGCCGAAGATTGCGTAGCCACGCTATGTTGATGAGGAGACATCGAATTGAAGCCGTGATCAGCTTCAGGGGGTGCGGCACGCCGGTAGCCCTCTGTGGTCCAGTCCCTTCTGCCCGCCATCTTGATCAAGACTTGGGGCATAGAACTCCTTCCACTCCCTGTATGTGTGAGGCGGAGGCGGATCATCACGTTCATCTTGTGGTGTCCATGATCCCGGATGAAAAAATCTTGACCCATTGAGCGTCTGGTTGTTGAGGATCCGGGCACCACTCCAGCCACGGCATGACAACTCAAACCCTAGACGCACAATCGAGAGGTACACGGCTGCAGACAACAAGCACCTCATGCGACGTATCAACAAACATGCCAAGCAAACGCAAGACACTCAATCCAGCACTCACAGCACATGCAGCGCCGAACACCGCGGTTTGTAGCAAGACGCGACTCAGGTGTCGAGGCCACTCGCCCCAATCAAATTGAAGATCATGGAAAGGCGAGGACGGACGTCAGCCACCATCCGAGTTCGAGGATGCCGACGAAGAGGACAATCCAGCTTACATGAGGTCCGGCGATCCCGAAGGGAAAACTGGCCGCGCAATGTTCGGGCGCGGATGGCCGAGCCGTTGGTATCCTCTGGTGAGCCAGTCACGATATTGCCATGTGTAAAAGGATGCATATGAGACCGGCTGGGAAAAGGAACCCAGAGTGCTGTCACTAGGCCAATACACTTCGAAGTGGTAGAACCTGCGCCATTCCCGATAGGTTGATGTGTCATCCGGAGCCGGTCCCAAGGTGGAGTTGGCGACTGGTTGCCACGGACCGGGTACATAGACTCGAATCCATTCAACGCTTGTGTTCGCAGGGCCATTGACGATGTCGTACTCAAAGTAGCGTGGTAGGAACCATCTCGCAGTGCCAAATATTGTGGAATTGAACATACCAACCGAATAAGCCGCTTTGAGGCAAAAAGGAATCGGCGAAAGCATGGATATGGAGAAATTACAACACAAGCCAAGGCAACCCAAGTTGAAGCTGCAAGCAAATCGGACAACAAGCGCAGCGTTTTAACCAACATGTTGTTCAAGCATCAATCCGACTCGTCCAATCGAAATTGGGATCATAGCTCGGTGGGGGGGAAGGTTCCCGCCACGCACCATCAGGAACTGAAGACACCGACGAGGAAGTAATTTCTTCATTCACGAGCTCTGTCGATCCAATGGTTGGGAATGCCAAGGCGTTGATAACCTCGCGTGCTCCAGTCTTGGAATTCCCACACGTGATAGGACACGTGCGAAATAGGCATGACATTGGGATCCGCAGCGGTGCCTCCGGTGCTGTCTGTGGGCAAGTACACATCGAAGTGATATGACTTGCGCCACTCCCGATACGTGGAAGCGTGGTCCGGGGCTCGTCCCAGGGTGGCTGTGGCCACAGGTTGCCACGGGCCCGGTGTGTAAATCCGAATCCATTCCATGCCTCTCTCGATGTGGTACTCAAAATAGTGCGGATACGTGACAGCCAAATGTGTCGTCCCAGTGCTGTTACAAGGAAGCGCAAAGCCAAGGGATCTGCGGCGAAACACTCATGCCATGACAAACTTGAAGGCAATGTGAATGTTGCAAGCAGTGCAACGCAAGGCAACTTTTCAAACGGAAGGCAGGGCGAATCAACAAAGTCTGTAGTGTGTGGCGGCAATGATTCACCGCCGCTGATGACGCGCGCACCTGCAGTGGTAATGTCCTGGTCGGCGACGAACACAGGGAGAAAGACATTTCCGTCCATGATGTAGAAAAGCATGACAGTAATGCTTGCATCTTGTCGTTACGGACCGTGTTGGACGAGTGGCCCGTTCCGAAGGGAACACAGTGAAGGGCCGCCGAGAACGCCGCGTGGCAGAGGTGGATGCTGTTCGAGAGCGTTTTGGAGAACGCGTGAGACTGCGTAGATCATCATCACGGGATTGGTCAGCGCTGCAAACTGAGCGGCGTGTGAGCTGAGATCCCATGGTGGCCGGGCATGACTGTCCTCGAGGAGAAGGGCTAGAGGAAGCTCGCAATGAGGGCATAAACTGTGGGTGAAGAATCACCAGTGGTGGTGGTGGTGGAGGAGGTGGAGGCGGAAGAAGTAGTGGGAGGCGGTGAAGCAGTCAATCGAAATGGTCTGTCAAGCAATGTACCGGGTCCGTGAAACTGTAACCACGTCGGCTGCGCTCCATGGGTCCAAGTTATGAATGTCTGCACATCTTGCTCCAACATGATTGAACACTCAAAACCGCAAGACAAGGAGAGATAAGCGGTTTCAGCCCTGCCATCCATGTCATCCATGCCATCGATGTCATCCATGCCTGCCATCCATGCCGTCAATGTCAGCAATGTCATGCATGTCATCCATGTCGTCAATGCAAAGGATGCCAACCATGTCATTCAAGCCAATGAGGAAAGAATCATGCAATCTACCATGTCCGCTATGCAAACCATATCGTCGATCTGCAACGTCCACAGAATGCATTGCCACTCTAAGGGAGTTTTTCCGCTCTCATAATGCAAGGTCAATTAAGCGCGAGCCTCAAGCCGCTGGTAGACCTTCCAGGCTTGCTTGACTTCCTCAATGGGCTTCTGAAGGAAACGGGCTATGGTCTTGTAGGTGGGCCTGGAATCCTTGTCCTTTTTGCGTCTGACCATCTCATCGAGTTCACCCTGTGTCCATGCCGTGAACGGTTCAAGATGTACATTGCGAAGGGCAATAGTGAATTCCTGCAGAAGTTCACGAGGTCCATGAACCACCGTCGGAGATGGACGGAACGATGAAGCACCCGGATGTGGACGAACCGAACCGTCCGAATCCGAATCAGGCGTGGTAGACGATGCTTGTCCTGGCTCACGATCGCTGCGTGGGGGATTGGGAGCAAGAGGTCTTGGCGGTGGTAACCGATCCAACATTGTCTCTGGACGGTGACCAGGGTTGCCTTCAGCAGCATCCCGACGTGCATCACGAGGTGGGGATAGTGCAGGTATATACCAGGTAGAAGAAGTATCCACGGGTTCTGATGCGAGTGGGAGTGCGAGACCGATCTGACGAGATGCGCTCCGTGATGATGCAAGGGCGCAGTCCATGTCTGGAATTACGTGGAGCCCTGGGAGGTATCCGGGGATCGGATTCCTGGCTTCGCTCTGCCGCCAGGGCAAAGTTCAGGGTGTCCAGGGCAGTGGCAACTTGGGATGCGAGGACATTGAGCACCGCCACCAGGTTACTGCAAGAGCAACCCAAGCAAGAAGGGCTGCGGAGCAACATAGACAACTCATGTTAGCATGACCTGGTGCACATCGGTGAGCTGAGAACCTTTTGCCGCTGGTTTTCCTTCAACGGTCATATGAAAGACCAGATGGTCGACACGCCGGCATGGCCTTGACTGCAGGGGGGGGGTTTGGCACGAAAGTGCGATAGTCTGAAGTAGGAACAGTGTGGGCAGGACGGCCACGTGGACGCCTGTGCTGACTGCGGCTTCGTGACCGACGCCGATGAGAGCCACGGTGTCTGGACCTTCTTCTCCGTCTGCGTTCTCTGGAAGCGCTGTCACTCACCGGATTAACGTGACCGGCCGGTTCCATCCGGTTGTCTGAAGTGGCCACCAGCGTGATGGGCACTGTTGGATGAGTTGATCTGACCGATGGGGCTGGCAAGGACGGAGGTGCCGATGTTGGTGGAGGCGGCAATGGTGGTTGCCCGTCAGGCGCTGCTGGAGGAGGCGGCGGCTGTGGATGCCGTTGCTGACCCTCGAGACGTTGGAGTCCAGCCACAAGGATACTGATCTGCGACGAGATAGCGTGCAGCATGAGCCGACATTCTCGTAAAAGGTCACCATGATCCATAACAGCGCAGAATATGGCTGGAAATGGTGGGGTGGTCCGATCAGTGGGCAACTCAAACTGCGGAGACAGCTAGCAATGGGGCAAACATGCAACAAGCAGCGCCACTTCACAATCATGCAGCAACACCACATGCTTTTTCCGAAAGAGGAGCGTCGTGATGGATACCATGAAAACATGGACACAAACCGCGGAGGGACAGTGCAAAAAGGAGGTACCGGACTGCATTGCCGAAGTCATTCACCAGAGTTGGGAACCGCAATAGATGAGCGGAGTTTCCACCTGCCATCTTTGGCATGAATGCAATCATAGTAGTGGGAAGCAGCAATGTCGGCGTAAGTGCCTCCTCGTGGAATGGTGCAATGGGGCTGGCGGAGTCTTGCAGATCCTCCTATACATATGGGCCGGTCACTGTGCACTCCTGCGAATTGGGCTGCTGCTTTGACCGCCGCGTCATGAGACTGAAGGCTGCCTCTGCAGTAGAAACCCATCGGAGGCAGCCACACTTCGTTCCAGTTCGTGTAGTCGCGATTGGGAGGACGCTGCATCTGCCATTTCGAAGGTTGGACAAGCTCCTCATCTCGCAGAATGTTGATGGCAGCGTGGATATTGGTGTTGTGCCCAGAAAAACGGTGAGTTCGACTGAGTACGATGCTTGTCAGGTAGCAGTCGACGTGGCTCGAACGAGAAGAGGATCCCGAAGTAATTCTTCCTGGCGTCCTTCTTGCTGGGTCCGGGGAGATCTTGAACTGACTGGATATCTCCCTGACTACATGATCCGTCCAGGGGCCTGGGTTGCCGTGGGGCAGTGGAGAAAATGGCAATTCCGAGACGGGCTTCACTCGCTGCTCATCTTCGATAATGTTGCGACGGTGCAGCATGAGGCTCCTGTAGACGGTCTCCCAAGATTTCTTCCACTTGTCTGGCTCAGGAAAAGCTAAGGTCGCAATGCAGGGCAAGGTGTAGTAAAGAACATCATCAATCAAGATGGCAATTTCCTCAATCCGACAGCCGGTGCGGAGCGTGAAACGATGGCTGCCCAAGGAAGGTACTTGTTGGCGAACAGGGAGATGAAGCAACTCAATCTGGTTCGCGGGTACCCTGAGGTGAGCCGGCGGAATTGACGGCGATCGAGGCCTCCTCTGATCATCATGAGCGCGACGGCCCTCGCGGGTCCATTCACCCCAATCCTCTTCATCCTCAGATATCCCATGTGGTCCAGGTGTGAGCCTGACCCGAGCGAACGCCTCGTAATTGCATGATCACGCACCGCTCTGACGTTGGTCGATGAGCTGAGTGCTTGAACATCACGTGAAGAACTGTGCGCTTGCACATTGCGCAGGTGTACAAGGCCATGCGTCTGGACAAAGAGCTGCATCTCATTGCCATTGATGAAGTTTGGAAGGTGATCCAAAGTAACTTGGCTTGTGGTCTGGACCATGCCGTCTGGGCGTAGTAGGCTGCACTGACCGTAGGTAGGGAGCTGGTCGGTGTCGAAGATTGTGTGCGGTTGGCCGGTGGTGGTGTAACCAACTCTGCATCATCTTTCTGGGTTGGCACCGTAGGGGAAGACGAAGCGCGTAGCGATGCCGAATACTGAGCCTGGAGCAACTCATGAGCTCGATTTAGATCATTGAACTTCTTGACCATGTCTTCTGCTTGGGTAGAGGGCGTGAGAGTCGCGTGGTGTTGCTGAAGAAACTGAAGCACCAGGTTGGCCAAATGGTCGTGAACCTTGATGCGCTGGTTGAAGTCGTCAAGGTTGAGCCCCAGCGAGTTGGCAAGGTCCTTTTCCAAAGTAAGCAGGTTGACCGACTGTAATCGTCGTAGTAGATTGGAACAGGTACTCCAAAGCAGGGCCTCGGTGCGAGTGCGAAAGCCTGACCTGTACCAGGCGAACGTCCCGGATGTCCATGCCAGACATGTCACGTAGATTGTTGCGCGGGGTGCTGGCAACCGTCATGGGCAGGCTAAAGGAGTAGAGCTGGTTGATGTCTAGCATGCCATCACCAGGTGTCCAGTCAACCGGTGGAGTAAGCCATGCTTTCTGAGGTCGAACTGGCAGCGCAGCTGGGTGTCCAGGCGATGGCGAAGCTTGGGGAGAAGTAACCGGTGGTGGCATCACGGGCGTCATGAACTTCGCTGGCGTGGGCTCCGGAGGAACCGGCATCATGTAGTTGACCGGTGAATGATGAATTTGCTGCGTAGGGTTTGGATTCGATTGATAATTGCCTGGCATCACTGGAAAGGTGTTGTTGGAGTTGTAGCCCGAATTGTGTTGCCAGGATACCAAGTTGTTCCAATCCATGCCCTCCGAGACCTGATTGTCATTGTGTTCACGTCGGCGTGCTTTGCGAGGCTGAGGGGAAGGACTCCGATCCCGTCTGCGCCGAGTTCTGGATCTGTCACGATCATCCCGACGCGACATGACAAAACAACAACACGTTCGAAAATGATAAAGCTCATCCTTGAGGAAAGATACAAACGACAAGCCACAATCAACGGCAGCTCATGAAAGCAGCGGCGGCCAGCGTGGTGAAACGTAGCTATGAAGAGGTGGCTGTCTTCCCTTTAGTGAAACCTCGTTCCTGGTTAAATGTGAAATTCCGCTGATCTATGATAAGCACGTTGAGGTCAAATTTTCCGACAGAGCCGGCCCGGGGTCACACAATGGGTACACCCGAGGATTCCCCACGAATGGGGTGTACACACTTAAACTCCAGATGGAGGGTGCTAGTCTTTCGAGTACAACTGATGAGTCTCGAGTACAACTGATGAGTCTCGAGTCGGATAAGTTTCGGCTGGCAGGTCACTTGGCTTCACTCTAGAAACGAAAACGTTACCCGAAAGAACAAGAAGCACAAACAGCGCCGCAACCAAGGGGGCCAAATAGACTTTCAGAATCACCGATGCAGGTACGTCCAGCTGGCCAAGCTGGATATCCCACTTCACTGGTAGCTTCGTTGGACACAGTCCCAGGGAAGTGCTGTGTCCCCCTGCGCTCAATTGTGGTGACAGGGTATTCTGCCACTCCGCACACACACACACACACACTGAGACTATGCACTTGCCGTGTTGTTTTTGTGGCTCAAGTGAGAGTGGCGAGTTGGAAGGTTGGGATCTGGGCACGCAGGAAGCCCGGAGTACAAGTCTGGTTGAAATGTCTTAGAAATCGATCTTTAAGCGTGTGCCTTGGTTCAAGGTACTTTCGCGGGAGTTGTATGGATCTCCGTGGAGGACAACCGGGACCTTAGGGTTCTGAACACGGATGGTACTGGTGGGTGATGTTACTGCCAATGATAGGAACTGCCGGGGCAACTCAGTTCACATGCAGCCTTATTCAGGGGGCTTGACGACAGGTCAGGTTTTGCCACTGTTGGCTGAACAATTGCTAGTAGTGCATATTGATTTGGCTGTTTCCAAGGCGGGAGAAGGCAAAACCGTGTCTCTCCATCTAACCCACTTGGGAATTACTTTGCGAGCCAACTCTGTTAGTGGCTATCCCCTGGCCAGTGCTCAGGGCATTTGGTGGGATAAGGAAGCCAAAGCTCGAGCTGAATTCGTATGTTCGCTTCGAGCGACTGCGACATCATCATTGCACCCCAGGCAACATGAAGGTGGTAAACAAAACAACAAAACGCAAGCACAGAAGAGGTCAACTGGGTAATGCCTCGAAATTGGGAAGCCTGAAATTGCCTATAGGGTTCCATCCCCAATAGGGTACCCTCAAAAGCTTCACACCCCCAAATGGTTGAACCCACAGGTTTCCGAAACGCTGAAAGCCAGGCCTTGGTTCCTCCCAAATGGCACGTTCATCAAAAAAGGCTCGCCGGACCCGAGGAACCCCATGCCTGCTGCCGCGGCTCATGGCTGCGGCTCGCCTGTACGCAAGCTAAGTGATTGATGCCGATCTCAGCATTGAATAAGCTTGCTTGGGCTGATCCAAAAGGCAGACGCGGAGACGTCCTTATGCCGCGGATCCTTTCCAAAACCACGAACAATATGGGCGCGCCACACATGTTGAACACCCTGTGCGCTCAAAACAAACATGAAAACAACACAAACATACGTATTCCCTGAAAGTGGTCGCGTGGAAACAAAAAGTAGCAACCATGTTTCCGCTGGCCCCTTAATCCAATAGGAGCTAGCAGCTAGCAATTTGTGAAGCTCTGTCGGTTCCATGGGAGTCACAGTGAGACATTTTCAGGGGCTCACTCTCGATCTCAGCCTGAGGCTCGCTCTGTTGACCTGGGTGTTCTTGGATGCGGGTGCTGTTTTTCCCAAATCGCTGCCTCAAGCTCTGCACGCTGCGCGGGTGGTAGGAGAAGTGCGCTTTCCCTTGGTCACACAAAACTTAGCAACCAGGGAAGTCGCCCGTCAAAAACATGGTTGCCTTCTGCAGTGGTTGCTGCCATCGCCCAGCTTACCTAGAGAGCACGCGCCCATCCCAGCCTGGGATGACGTCGCGGGTGAGTATCGTACCTACCAGGCGCGCTCTCATTTTTCACAGAGCTCATCTGGGGGGCTCTCGTGATTGACTTGTCATTCTTTGGCCGAACCATCTGCGCAAACATGATCGCTCCTACTGTGTCCGCATCTCCTCTCTCAGGTTCGACTCGAACCTGATGTGGATTGGTTGTTCAAACAAGTGTCTGCCGGGTTGGTCTCATGCAAGAAGAAGGATTCTAGCTGGTCCATGGCAAATAAGAAAGCTGGCCAAGTGTGCAAAGCTGACAATGTGGCGTCTTGATGGGAGGACCTCGTAACAAAGATCTCATCTCTCTGCTTACTTCTCAGCTTCCAGAAGGACCCTGCACTCCGAATTGGCCACCTGCCATTTGCTTAAGCCCCCTGAAAAAAATACAAATATGTCCAGTAGTGATAGACTCCCTTTAAACCAACAGGGGAAAATAAAAAACCTATTCTTAAGCAAATGGAAGCCACGGTTCCTTTTGATGTCCTGTGGTTGTGGCGTTCTCCTCACCTGTGGCCGGATTCCGTTGTTTCGCGGGTCAGCAGTGCGGCCAGCTAGGGCCGCGTGTAGAAGACTTTCCGAAGCTCACGGAGGGGGCCCGGGTTTGAGAAGGAAAAACACGCGGATTGGCCCAGTGGGTGTCGGATTCTCGCACCAAAGATTGGAAACGCCAAATAAGCAGCTTGAGGAAATCATGGCACAATCCGTATCCCAAAAACAATGCTGAGCTTCATGGCTGGGACTTTAAAATGGCTCCAATGAATGCCGACACCTGGACACGGGTCAGAGGGGGTCTACGGAGGGTGTCAATTTCTGACAAATATCAAAACCTTCGGGGGCGCTCCTTGCGGCTATATCTCGGCAAGCATAGAGGCTGGGGGCACCCATCTGGCTCGCCAAGAGTTCCACATTCCCCTCACCGCAGCTGCACCGCCCGGCGACCAGATTTTCCTTCTGCCTCTCTCGCTATGAGAGCAAAAAGGCACGTGGGCACTGAGAACTCAGCTCGAAAAAGATCTACGAGCCGAGTTGAAGTCCACAAGGTCCAGTCCCTTTGACCAAGTGCCTTTCCAACTCCAGGCACCAAGATTGCCGTGACGTATCCAATTGGAAATCCGTCCTGACTTTCGAGCGGCGAAGCCTTGGGATATAACCCACGCTCGCCTTCTACGAAATCGATTGGCGACCGAGGGGAACAGGGATGGTGCAGGAGAAAGCTTGCTGCTGTACAGCTTTCCAAGACTTCATAGCTCGCGCCTGCCACTGTTGCTTTGCATAGGGTGACAACGATTCATTTGCCTTCTGTTCGTTGTTTGTGTGGCATTGTTTGCCACTGGACTGGTCTGTCAGTAGGGTGGCGTGTGCTTGCCACTTTTTCTCCAGGAATCCAACCAAATGTGAGAGCAGGGTGTTCATCACTGCAACCGGGGTCTTGGTGACATGTCCTACAGACACCGATCATGTTTTTGCGGCGGAATTGTGACTCGTTCTTCTTGCGGAACAGGTCCGACAAAGCCTCGAATGTGCTGACCGCCTGATCGCCCCGATGGTCGCGCAGGGTGAGCCATCACCCAACTTCAAGCGCCAAGTGCTCGCCCCCCCCTACATGCATTCCAACTAGTTGGACCTTGACCTATCTCATCCGCGCCGTTGGAAGGAACACCCTCTCAAGGTTGGGGAATGCGATTCCATCCGGCTCACTCGTGCGGTCTGTTCCCTTGAGGAAGCTTGCCGCAAACGGCCTGGCAAAAAGCAATCCGCAATCGCTCGTCAGCTTCCCCCAAAATGGTTTGCTTCTCAGAGGTTCAAAGTAGATGCAAGTGGCTTTCTTTTTGGCTTCTGCCCTCAGGGAGACGACAGAAGCCAGCTCCGCTGGCAATGGGAAACAACCGAATTGGACCGCCTTTCTCTGACTCCAGGGGACCTGGAACAAATACCAGTAAAGTCAGAGCGGGGGGGCAGCGGTTTCAAAATGAACAAACGTTTGGAACGTGCTCCCCGTAAACGTCTGCCAGTGCACTCCTTCGCCTTCAAGCGCATATATGCGTGAAGTCAAATTAGTAGCCAGTCAACTTGTTGGCTGGCTAGTTGGTTTTCTAGTGGGCCACTTCCACCTTCGCGTCTCGTGTTTCACCTAGGATGGGTGCGAACTGATTGTTGAAGGTGCGGGCCGCCCGGGCTGCTGTCGTTATTGTGCTTCAAAGCTTTCATCTCAGAGGCAATCCTAAATTCGTGACTTGTGCCAAGCCTTGCAGGAAACTTCGCGATGAAGACCCTCGCCTTGCGATTGAACCCCAAATCCTTCACCGCAACCCTTTGCGTTCTTTTTTTTGGGGGGGGGGATGACCTTCACAAGCTCGTGGTTCTTTGTGCGTGTTCAACGCGCACAAGCATCAAATGGTGAACCTTCTGCAGACTTTCGCAATGTCGACCACCAGAAACTCATCTTGTTTTTTTTGTGTTTCTCGCTTTGATCTTGAAACGCTTTGCGTGTTGTGGGTCTTTGTTGCATGTGTCACGTTGTTTGGTGCTCTCTCATTTGTCAGTTTGTGCAACCGTCAAATGGTAAACCCTCTACAGACTTTCGCGAGGTCGACACTCAACAACTCGTAGCAGCTAGCTGGCTAACCTGACTGGCTACTTAGCTAACTAGCTTACGATCGACTGCTAACCCCCTAACCAGCGAGCTAGCTAACTTGTCAACTCGCAAACTAGCCCACTAGCCACTTAACTTGCTAAGTAGCTCAACTAGCTAGCTCAGCTTCGCGAAGTAGTTAGCCAGGTAGCATAAGTAACCAAATAACTCTGCTAGCTAGTTTTCCAACTAGATTTCTGCTTGCTAGCTACCTCTCCTAGTTAGCTAACCTGCAGTCTTTTCGTTGTGGCGCCATCACTGTCATTGTCTTGCCCGTGGCCTTTGCACGTGTTTCCCCGTAGTATGTTCTTTGTGGCCATGGTGTCTTCCCTCCTTTGCAACGAGCGTTGGTGGCCGAGCGACAAATTGCTCAAGCCCTGGGACCCCCCTGCGGGCAGACACCCTCGCGCCTCATGCCACAAAGGCCACAATGGCGGCCAGCACCGCGGGAGCAGTCCCGCGGATATAAGTGGCAGCACTCATGAGAGCAGAGCCTGGCGAAACGAATGAGCCCTTGGCTACCCTCCGCTGGATGAACAAATCTGTTCGCTCGACGAATAAATCAGAAACTAGAAGCTCTAGAAGCAAGAAGGGATCCGGAAAAAGAGACAAGTGTAGATTAATATTCATTGGGTGGTTTATAGTGATTGTGTCAAACAGCAGCGAAAAAAGAAAAAAGAAGGCGCCTGGTCGCAAATGTTCCCATGTTACTTTCCATCGCTCGATCAATCCGAAATGTTGTGTGTTGTGAGTATTTCCAGGCCAACGTTTGTAGTTCCTGACTTTGGTTCTCCTCACAAACATAGGTATTTGCTAGCCAACAGACCATATCCATCCGTTGTGGATGCCCCCATTTGTGGACTTGGCTGGTGGGGGGCCGGGATGCCCCGCCATCAACGATTGTAGTTGTAGTGGTGCAGGGATCGCTTGTGAGCGACACGGTCAAGTGCTCGCCGTAGCCTGGGCCACAAGGCAAGCAAATGGCATAGGGGAACTGTCCGCCAACAGTTTACACCTAGCAAAGGATAGAGGTTAACCTCCCCCTAGTCCCCTGCCGGGACAAGTCTGATATGTAGGGTTTGGGGGGGGTCCACGTGCCGCGCGGTAATTTGATGACGTTCCACCAAGTAGTCTTCGAGAAATGAAGGGGAAACGAAGGGGAAATTGATGGGACATGCATGGGAAACTACTGGAAAATGAAGAGGACATGAAGCGGAAATGACAGGGAAATGAACCGGAAACGAAAGAGAGGAAACATGTGAAATGGAGAGCAATGAAGGGACGTGAAGGGAAATCAAGGGCAAGTTAAATTGAAAGGGAAACGAAGAGGAAATGAAGGCAAATAAGGGAAATAAGGGAAATTGAGGGTTAACTTAAAAAGGGAAATGGAAGAGACCTGAGCGGAAATGAAAGGGAAGGACATCCATGAGAGATGCACATGTCAACTGAGCTGCAGGCTCTTAAGTTTGTTTGCACTTCGTGAACAACTCCCTCTTGGGCATACCAGAGGCACCAACTTGGCAATGAAGATCCAAGCGGAAAGCATTGGATCCGTGGCAGGGGCTGGTTCTGCGTTGTGGAACCTAGGATTTTGGAAGGGGGCGTTGTTTGTCCGTGTGTGGGTGGACACTTAGTGTCAACGAGTATCTCCTTCTTTCCATGCTGCGCGGTCATTTGGTCATATGTGTAGGAAAACACATAAACACCCTGAGCAAATTGAAGCTTAAAAAAAGCTGGTCACCCGAAAGGTGGCTCTGTTAGGAACACTGCGCTCCAATTGGGAGGCGGGCCTCCCGCGCATAGGCCCCAAATAGCATGGAAAACAACCATGACCAGCACCTGCAGAAGAAGAAGAAGAAGAGGAAGAAGAAGGAATGCTTGAGCCGCCGGCTCCATTCAGAGGTGGCAGCACATTGGCTGCAGAAGCCGCCACTGTGCGCAGTGAAACAAGAGGAGTAGCCAACGAAGCAGCTACCACGCAGCGCCGCGGGCTGCGGCAAAGCAGCCACCGAAGCGGCCCTCATGGAGCGCCGCGTGTGTCCTGAAGCAGGGGGTGTCCTGAGGCTGAGAGCGTGCAACATCAGCTCCACATCCACATGGTTCCCTTCAAAGCGCGCCGGAGTTATGGCGCGCGCTTCGCACGGGCTGCCCGGGAAGCAGATCACGACCTGGCAACTCGCGAAGCGCTCTTGAGCCACATCTCATTTGCCTCCTTGCCAGACTGCAGTTGCGAGATCTCGCCGCACTTGGGTCGGCTCCACATCCACATGATTCCCTTCGGAGTGCGCTGAAGTGATGGCATGCACTTTGCCCGGGCTGCCCAGGATGCAGATGAAGATGTGGCCCGAAGCTACTACAGCTGAAGACATGCCG